TAAACCTTAACTATAAGTATAACAAACTCCTTTTTGGACTAACAGCATAAAGAGTATCATACCACCATATTTTTGTATTTGTTGGTATACTTTAGGCTCTCTGAAAACTCTATCACCGTGGATTACAAAAGCAAATAGTAACAGGTGATACTATTATGCAGGAAGAGCTACAGTTGTATAAATGTGTTATATACCCCCTGGGTTGAAATCACTCTTAGATTTCATCTTGTACTTAAAACTGATTGAATTCTTTATGATAAAAATCATCCTAAAGGAATAATAAAGAATGGGAACGATATAGTTATGATTGCAATATACTGGTATTTTAAAAAGGTCTTGTGTCCAAAATTTAAATTCTGTAAGCTACTTAAAGTTCTTCATCCAAAAAGAACAAATCTTTCAACTTAATGGCCTCATTTTGCAAGCCTTTAATACCTTGAGTAATACATGTAATTGTGCATCTATTAGGAGAAGCACTTTTCCACTTTAAACAATCAACCACTTAAGTTTGTTAGAAACTGCATTAAGATCAAAACTAATCATGAGAAGAAAAGAAATAAGGCGACAAAGTATTAAAAAAACAAAGGGCAAAGGAAAACAAGATGGGACTGCAAAACTGTCTGGGCTTGACAACAGTTTTTTTTTGTTGCTATGGATAGCTAACCTGCTATTTTTCGTTTACTAGGTACGGCAACATATTAAATATCAGAACTAGGGATGTAAGCGACTAGTCAATTATCAAGTAACTAGTCGCTCCTCCTCCTTGCTGCCTCTATCAGCACTGTCTCCGCAGGGGACAAGGGATAGCAGGGACCATCCATCGACTAGACGATTAATTGAATAAACTAAATTTAACATTCGTAGTCAGAACCAACAGACTGCAACGTTAGCAGAAGAATCGCAATAAGGATATACATCGAAAGCATTGGCTTTTTCTGGTTTGCATAATGCCTTCAATGTCAAACAAAAAGTAGACAAGATTATGAAACGTTATTTTTTCAGTAGCAGATTATTTCACTCAGTAGACGTTCAGTCGCACCTTCAGATCTAACTTCATCTCTAACCCCCATATCCGATATAGACAGAGCATTAGTGCCAGTTGCACTTAGGTTGGAAACTATTGGTCAACTATTGGTCAACCTTAACAATGACTTTAGTCAGTCATAACTATCAGAATCTTACATCTTTAGGCTGAAAGTTTTCCAGGCCTGTTCTCTATCTGAAGGTAAATATGGAAAGTCCGAACAACAATAGTTTAACCATTTGAGTAGGAGCATGGGAAAAATAAACTCCACAGCAAAAAGGACATGTTTTCTCCCTCTCCCCACACCGTTCTAGCACCCAAACAGCGGAAGTTACAGAGCTGAAATTTGGCAAAGATACAATCTATGGAAACTACCTTTGAGCAGTGAAAAATTGACTTCATTTGGCAGTTATGACCCATATAAACACACACACACACACACACACACACACACACACCATTCATTCACAATATCATCTGTACTATTTTTGAAGCAATGTTTGTAGGAAAATTATGTTATGTAATACGTAGTGCATGACACATGGCTACATTATCAGCAAAGAGAAAGATTTTTGTATTGAAGGTACACTGTCAATTGAAGTGGTGTTATATAGAAACCCTTGTTTTTTTCCATTGTGCTTCAAGTATACTGATGACTTTCACAAACTGTCACACAGACTAGTATTCAGAAGTTAAGATGCCACTCATGTAGCTAAGACTGGTAAATTACACAGGTTGAACCTCTCTGATCCGGCAACATCCATGGTTCAAAATTATTTGAGTTAGCCAGATGTCCACTTATCATGGGTGCGGCCAAGTTTCCCATGATCTCATAAAATTTGTTTACAGCCACCAGTTCTGACTCTCTCAGTTTTTTGTGCTATTATTTAGCTCTAATTTACCCCTAAATGTCTTCCAAGAGCCTAGTAAGCAGTGACAGCGTTGGTAATGCTGCTATACAATACTGACCTCCTATGGTCTGGCAAATTCTCTGGTTCGGCACTGGTCAGATCCTAAGTAAGAATGTTAAGAAGCAGGTAATTCGCTAACCATGTAGGCAATACTATTTGTATTTACTACACAATTAGTCAATAAGGGAAGGGACTCTGTACTACATTTAAACTGCAGAGCCTCAGCAGGGATAGATCCCAGACCTGGCATGAGCTGGGACTAGGACCACTGCACCAGCCTACCCTGTCCCCCACCCTCCACATTGTGGAGATGGTGCTGGGGGGAACTGGCTTTTAATCCAGCTCCCCCTAGCACTCCTGCTTCCCACCTCCCTTGCTGCCTCTGATATAGAGGCAGTAAGGGGGGGGGGGGAAATGAGTAGTCAACTCAAATACCTGAAAAGCCTAGACTTATTGGGTAGTCAACTACTTGACTAGTCGCTTACATCCCTAATCTCGAATGTGCCAGACTAGAGAGGTTTAAAACCTGCACTGTGAGAAAGTTTATGAAATATAATTCAAGATCTTGTTAAGATAATCTTAAAGAATAATGTACAAGGGGACACTGTATGGAACCTAACTTTTATATTTTATATTTCCTGACCTGCTTAAAATGTGTGCGCTTTTTGAAGAGCCAGGAATATTTTAATGAACTTCCATATTTTTACAATAATTTAATCACAAATTTGTATCCAAGAATGTGAAAAAGTGGGCTTTTTAGTAAGCAGAAAAGTTACACAACTATGTTCAAAATTTTGAATTACTTTGGAAGCTTGGTAGTTATACATAGGTTTTTAAAAAGAATGTTTTAAAAAAGGGAAGCTTATGTTAAAACTCATTTAAGAAACACCTCTGATTAATGCCACTACTTTGTACCATAAAGGCAATGAAAGCTATCTAAATCGTCACAAGTGAAGCAGAATAATAAGGCCAAAAATTAAAAACTGAAGCTTCCAACCAACAAAGAATAACGTTCATGCTTAACTTTATGCACTGACTGCTGAGTAGTGCCATGGAAATCAATTGGACTATTCACAGTGTAGAGAGTTAAGAACATGCACACATTCTGGGCAGGATGGAGGCTTCAGTCTGTTCAGTGACACACAAGTTTGCATGTTTTCACTTTGTGTGTCATATACACAATCATCTGATTTGAAAGTACTGCAGGGTAAAGTATAAATGCAGTAGGGATGTTAAAAAACAGTAATTGTTACATCCTGACTCCCTAGGAGTGGGGCCGACAACCAGTGTGCTGCTCCCAGCTCCACTCCTGGGAAGTCAGCTGCTGCCTTGTGCTGCAGACTCTCATACAAAGTCAACAGCGCAGCTGGCTCCCAACACGTACTGGGCTCCTGCCTGCTGCCAAGCGCTGCTGCCTATGATACAGAGGCAGCAGCACGGGACGGCAGTTGGCTCCTTGGAAGCTGGTGTACACCAGAAGCTGGCTTTTAAGCTGGCTCTAGGTCCTGGGTTCCCAAACTGGGGGGCATGAAGAAATTCAAGGGGGTGGGGGCGCGAGGCGACCCAGCCTCTCCCCCATCAAGTTTTGCTGCCCTGTTCAGTTCCTTTTTTCCTTGCTCAACAAGTTTTGCTGCTATTTGGCAGGGGAGGAGGGCGGGGGCGGGCTGTTAGGGTTTTTCAAAAAAATAAAAAAGGGGGCGCATTTCTTCCAGCATTAGGCAATTAACTTTCTCCACACATGATTTTTTTTAAACAGGAAAGGTAAAATTAAAATTTATAAATCAAACTTGATTAACTGAGTAGAGACACTGTGTGTAAAGCTGCATTTCAGAACATTTTTTAAAAAATTAATGGTCACATTACTTTAAGCCCTTGAAAAAGGAGTTATAAATTGGGAAGTATGATAAACACTCTATTATTATGCTAAATCCAGGAAGTTTCCAGACAGTGAATGACAGTCTTGTACAAAGCAGAGCTACTCAACACGTGGCCCATGTGCCACATGCAGCCCATGGCCTGTTTGTTTGTGGCCTGCAGTGCAGTTTGGGTTTACAGTGTTGTTTGGGTTCATATGTGTTTTAATAGTTAAATACCTGGACTGTTGTGAAGCCAAAACAAAAACGTAGTCAATATAATGGTCTTTTGTTGATATGGTTTTTGGAAATTAAATTCCTGGACTGTCATTGCTCAGAAGTGCTGTCATATGGGTGGAAATCGTGGAAATATTGCATTTTATTAATATCAGCAGAACTGACTTAAATGGGACTTGCGTGTTGTATAGTCTTGCCTTAATCTTTGTATTCGTGCCCATCCGTGTGAAATAAGCTATTTGCATATACATTTGCATGTATATGCAACCACACTTAAGTTGCGGCCCTTGGCATGTGCTGTTAGTATAATTGCGGCCCTCAGCTTCCAAAGTTGAGAAGTACTGATATAAAGGGTGTATCACTAATACCCAGTTACAAACAACTGCCATAGTCCTAAAACTGCAGTAGATATCCATTTAAGTACAACAGACTGATTCCACTTCTAACACCTTCATTGTTCTTTAGATAATTACATTTTACAACTTTACATTTAGACTTGGAAGGATTAGATTTTTAATCGGTAAGTGTCAGCAAACATAGCAAACTGTCTTCATACACAAACCCACAAAAAATTTCTATCTAGAAGTAAAAGAAAGCTTAAGAATATTTACTTTGTATAGTTTGACGTGTGATGTATTTTTTTTCTAATGGTTATAAAGCTTTTTTTAAAAAAAATCTCACTGTGTAATTAAATAAGTATTTGACTTCCTCCATAATTTTCCACATCTGTGAAAATTTAATTAAAAAAATTTTAAATGCTTAAAATCAATATCACTCAAAATTAAAAAAAAAAAAATTCTGCCAAGCTTATTTACATTTAACTATTTTCATCAAAAACAAAGTCAAGACTGGCAAATGAACTTGACAGCGATGGTGTGTGTGTGGGGGGGGGGTCAAGGGACATTAAGCTCTTGCTTCTCTTGCTGTAGTGATGTGCCCTCTCCTTTAAAAAAAAAACCTGACAAATTGACCTACCCCAGCTGCTTAGGAACTTTCATTTTCCGAGGCTTTTTCTCCTTCTCTGTCCCATCCTCTTTCCGCTTGCGCTTCTTAATTCCACGATCCTCTCCTCCTTTTAGTTTCGTTTCCTAAAGAACCAAAAAGGCGTTACCTCTGCTCTACAAAGTGCTTCAGCCTCCTCATGTCTGACAATTCAGAGTTGACATTATCACTGTTAGGCAACTGGTTTAAAAAAAAAAAAAAAAAAAAAGCAGCAAAGAAGGGCACTCCTTCACCTGTTTAACTTACCAACAGCTCCAAGCTCCAATCACACATCTTCTTATGTGTGTTCTTTTTTATTTTTCACCACTTCAGATGACAAAACAGATATAAGTATTCTTAGACTAAGTTTTCCTAACAGGTTCCTGCTTTTGAATGTGTTTATATAGCACAAGGAGGTACCTGACAGTATTAAGTATTGCCACTCATAGCTAACTAAACATTTTTAAAAATTAAAAATATACATAATTGAATGTATAACTACATCCTGGAATTTCACTGGCTCCATCAAATGGGTGGTGTAAACAGATGCTAGAATGAGTTGTAACCTGCCAGAGGAAGTGTAAATTTTAATAAAAAGCCGCCACTTTTCAGAATAGAACTATACTGAATAACATATTTAGAGAAATATTTTAGGAATGTGTTTCTAAGGCTACTTTGGACAGTAGGAACAATTTAAATTAGTGATATGAATGGTTAACCAGTAAGCACCACTCTTACCAGGTTATGGTTACTGGTTATGATTAACTGGTAAGGAATGGAGCAGCTTTCTGCCTGCTGCAGGCAGGGTCTGGTCCAGTCTGGTGGGTCCCAGTGGGCAAGGGGCACACATGGTGGGCCCGGACCATCACACTGCCGGCAGGAGCATTCCAGCCTCGCCAGAGCAACCCCCACGTACATCAGAACTGGCCTGGCCACAGTAGCACACCGCAGGCTGGCGTGGCCTCCGCTGCTCATCCCAGTTTAATTAGTTAACCAGTTAAACATTATGTTAATATCTATTAACATAATATTATATATTTAAACATTAATATAACTGATTAAATGGGATTTTACATCCCTAATTTAAATCTTACAATATTTTGTGAAATTGTAAATGTTCTCTCAAAGAATTCATACTGAATTTTCTTTTACGGCAATGTTGTTTTTACAGAAATAATATGAGCAGACCTCAAGAAGTTTTTTTTAAAGTGTATGGGTCCAATTTATTTGTTTGCTTTAAAGAACTTAGCAGCTTTGGAATACTGCATAGCTTGCAGAAGTCAGAGGTTATTTATGTAAGGAAACCTTGTGACTTCCCATTCCCTTATAAACAAGTACCAAGACAAGGACACTGACCTCACCCTTTATCTATTCATCAACAAGCTCTCAGTCTTCTCATTTTCTTGTAGCCATCTTATGAACCCTTTCCTGATTTTGAATCAGCCATAAACTCCGGGGGAAAAGAAACGAAGATCACTCACTTTAGGTGGCCTATGTTTTTTGTCCTCTGCAAAGTCTTCATTTTCTGAATCAGATGCTTGGCGAAATTGCAATGTTCCCGTGTTTATGTAAAATCCTCCATATTTGGTTGTCAGAGATGCAGGAACCAATTCATCATACTGGGCAAGAAATAGAAGAGTCAGGCAATTAACCAATATCTACCACCTTATTAACAGAAAACATTCATCTATCTAGTCTCTGAATAGGAGGTATTAAATACAAACATATTACATAACTTGACAGATATCAAATCATAAAAATATCTATGCTGCTGAAAAGTTGCCAGGTCTTGGAATGCTAGTGTCACAGTATCAACCACTACATTCGAAACAGTATTTGGGAGAAGGTAACATAGTACCAATGGAGTGGTCAGTGGCATATCTAAACACACTACCAGTCAGATGTCATACTTTAAACATCTAAGTCAATATTCTGTCTGTGCCGGTGTCTACTACTAGCAGCTTCAAACAACTGTACACGAAACCATGTAGCAGACAATATGAAATGTCCTCTCAAAGGTCAAAGAATATTTCTTCCCACCTCCATCAGTTACAGGGTAACTTAACCTACAGTATATAGATTTAATATATCTAGATTTTTTTAAAATGCTAAGATCTTGACCTCACTCATATTTGTTAACCACAGACTCTATAGATTTATTATAAGTTTTTAAAAAATCCTTTATCAAATTTTAACGTGTTGCATTTCAAATTTCACAGAATTCATTCACTCTTATTTGTCTATTGTAAGAACAAATGCCTAATTTAAATTCTCTACATCATTCATTTTTTGTGTAACATGATGCTCTCAATTTCTCTCCTAAATGGTCCTTATCTTTTTAATTATCATCATCATCTGTTCCTAGATTTGTTTCTGCTATATATTTTTGAGATAAGGTGACCAGACTGAAAAAATTTTGCAAGTAAAGGGGCCCATGAATTTATGTATAGGTTTTCATATTTATACTTTATGTAAGGATTTTAATATTTGTAATATTATATTTTTAATATTTTGTTTGATTTTTTGAACCTCTGCTCAATTTGGGATTTGTTTCACTGAATTGTCCAAGATACCCAGGTCATACCCGAACAGAAAGCTCAAATAATGGACTGTCCAGTTCAAAACCCGATACCTGGCAACCCTAGTCACAGTCATAAGTTTTCCTCACTGCTTTTCATGCACTTGCAAGATCTCTAACATAGAAGTTGTATTTAGCAACTGAATAAGCAATGATAAAGATGACAAACTTCTAGCTCTCATGTTTCATTTTATGGAAGGGAGAGCTGTCTTAATAGATGAATTGCTATTTTCTGCTTCCACAAGTTTCACATGCAGAGCAGTCACATACATGTAATGCTTACTCTTTTCAGAAGGACTCATGAATCTGGCAAGTTACCAAAAAAAAAAAAAAAAGTCTAATATTTAGATTTCCATGAATTGTGAAAAGTGTTGTTTTCCATATTGATTTAACATACTCTTCTGTACCACATGCTTTAAGATTACTTGGTCCAGGGCCTCTGGTGCTTCAGAATTTTTTTAAACCAAGGTTTATGGTGTATTCCAGACATTTCTCTTTGTAAAGTCAAGCATGTCTATGCAATTTTTTTTAAATACAGATGTTTATTTCGGAAGTTAGTATTTGACACAATGTTAAGCTACCTGGCTCTGACAGCAACAAAGACTTCAGTTCAGCAGGTATTTAAACATACATTTATCTTTAAATACCATCAGGTGTCCCACTAAAGGCAATGGGATTGCTCATGTTCTTGAAGTTAAGACACTTGCTCAAGTACCCTGCTGATTCTAGGCCTCCAAAGTAATTATATTGGTACCTGAATCAACTAGGCCCTCTCTCTTCTATAAAGGGAATCAAATTACACTTTATAGAAATAGCAAATCAAGTGGTTGTTTATTTTACTACAGATCAAACCTCCTTTTTCCGGCACCCCGGGGACCTGACTGGTCCTGAACCACAGGATTTGCCGGACAAGGGGAGGTCAAGGCTCCCAGCTGGGGCTGCACCCTGTACTGCCTCCTCTACTTCATCCAAGCCTCTCCTCCCCCAGACTGCACCAGCCCCGGCCAGGGGCCGCCCTGCTGCCTCAAGCCCCAGCGGCACCTCCCACAGTGCCAGGCCACGCTGCGCACCCAGGTGCTGGCCCTGTTGACTCCAGCACTGACTGGGGTTGCACTTCCCACAACTTGCCAATCCCGCTGCTTCCAGCCCTGGCTGTCAGCTCTGCCCCACCCCACTGGGGCTACGCTCCTTGCCACCCCAGTTGGGAGTTGAAAAGGTGAGGTATACTCGCCATTCTTTAAAACTTTTAAACTAAACTATATTCAAAACTTTCTGATTTAAATAAAAACCATATCAATAACCTAGGTTGCTGTAGAAGAGAATGCAGGCAGAAGCCCAGCAGCAGAGTGAGAGCTATTCTGTTTATTGCGCTCAGTGTAGCATGTATGATCACCTGCCCGGCGGGTGGGTGGCATGTGTGTGCATTCAGCACAAGGAGCTCCTGGCCCTCAGAGACCGCATGCAGGCTTAGGAGGCCAGGGTGGCTGAAATGAAGGAGCTAAGGGAGACAGGTACGTTGATGAGGCTTCCCAGGACACTACAGAATTGTCCCACCTCTGGTCAGGCAGTCCCTGCGCTGTTAAAGAGGATGAAAGGCTCAGGGAAGGAGAGCAGTCAACAGGAGCAGAGGGAAACCTTCCCATAGCTGGGACCCTTCCTCCAGATGATATTGGGGTATCCGCTTACACTCAGGTTACCTCTCTGGGGGAGGGAACTCCAGTCATTAGGAAATGGCGGTGTCAGTAATGGGAGATTTGATCATTAGAAACATAGATAGCTGGGTTTGTGGTGCCCGGGAGAACCGTATGGTGACTTGCCTGCCTGGTGCGAAGATTGTGGATCTCTCGAGGCATCTAGATAGACTTGTGTAGTGCTGGGAGGAGCCAGTGGTCATGGCTCATGTAGGTACCAATGACATAGGGAAGGGTAGGAGAGACCTCCTGGAGGCCAAATTTAGGCTGCTAGAAAGAGACTGAAATCCAGCACCTCTATGGTGGCATTCTCAAGAAATGCTTCCAGTTCCACACACAAGGCCAGGTAGGCAAGCAGAGCTTCAGAGTCTCAATGCATGGATGAGACAATGGTGTAGGGAGGAGGGGTTTAGCTTTATAAGGAACTGGGGAAACTTGGGATATTGGATGCCTATACAGGAAGGATGGACTCCACCTAAACCAAAGTGGATCCAGACTGCTGGCACTTCACATTAAAAAGGTTGCAGAGCATTTTTTAAACTAAGAGATGGGGGAAAGCTGATTGGTATAGTACAAGCATGTCCAAAGTCCGGCCCGCGGTCGGATTTAATACGGCCCCCCGCTTCTCCCGGCTTTCCGGTGCTTCTTTTAACTGGCGCGCGCAGCGCGCCGCTTCGGGCCGCCGCCGTGGTCCCAGACCCTGCCCCTGCACTCCGCTTTGGGGCTGAGAGTGCGGGGACAGCCCCCCGCTTCCTCCCCCTCTCCTGGCTCCCCAGCGCTCCTCTGAACTGGCGCCACTTCCGGCCGCGCCGCCACCGTCCATGGCGGCCGCTGCGGTCCTAAAGTCTGCCATGTAGGGCACGTCCGCAGCCCCGCTCCCCCGCTTGGCTACGGGTTCGCCCTGCCCCCGG